CTTGCTCTTTTCATTTTCTCTGTCCGTGTAGTTTATGTGCTTGTGTCTAATGTATGTATCTTTTAAATTTATTTTGATTAATGTATGTATGTCTCCTCTTTATACTCATCAAGGCTACTCCACTAGTTGGTGTTAGACCTTCAACACAACTCTCTCTCTGTTCTACCACTTGTATCTTTGCTCTCTGTATTATGTGTTGTAAAGTATTAATAATAATAATAATAATAATAATAACAAAATGGCGGCATGTAGCTAAGATGGCTCGATCCAGCAGTCACAGTATCACTTTTTCCTTACTTGAAGAATGATCTGATGGGACATGGACCTGCGCATAGACTGTTGGAGTAGATTGGTGTAAGAATTATTCTTGTAGCACCAACCGATACTGAGATACACACCGACAACTGGATTGACAGGACTTGATGATGAAGAAGATGATGATGAAGATGAAAAAAGGTGGCTGAACAAAACGGCCGGTTCGCCGATTTTTGACTTTTCGCTTAGACAAGGTCTAGAGCCATGCTAGTTGTACCATTGGAGTCCTCTGGTCAAGATAAGGTCCTCTATAAAGTCTGGTAAGCATAGGAGCTCGTTTTCCAGGTATAGCAAGGCTGCAAAAGTCGTGGCAGCCATTTTGTTTGGGGGTGAATCCTACTTAGTAACGCTACCGCGTTACTAATACCATCCATACACATACATGTACATGTACCATGTGTGGATGAGAAATGAGAATACAACTGAACTGAACTAAACTGTACAACAGTAGGTGAGAAGGTTCAGTTATGCACTATGCAGCAAGTTGTTGCATGCAACACAGTTTATACAGGAGTCAATGGAGCTTGCAACATGTTGTATGAAATAGGAAAATGGCTGTAACTTGGAAAATTGAAGTCGGAATCAGCTCAAACTTTCTACATAGCATAAGGATATCAATGTGTATCAGAAAATGTAATAAAAATTGGGGATAATTTCAGAGCCATTTTTTGAAAAAACCATAAGCTATGCCTCAGATTTTGGCTCATTTTTAAAATGGTCATAACTCAGAAATTGAAATTGGAATCACCTCAAACTTGCTACACAGCATAAGTACATCAA